TTAGTTTTCTTTCCAACTCTATAATCTGCTGTAAGGATACATTATAATTACAGCCACTCATTTGTCAAAATTGACCGAAACGTCCCTCAAGGTTATCTGTCTGAAATTTTCTTAAAGAATAAAAGGTAATTTAAATTCTTTTAACAAATACTTTGAAAGTTCATTCAATGTTGCTGTTGTATGGAGAAGAGCAACTTGGGTTTCTTTTGACAGTTTCCCAATTTGTGACTTATTTGTTGTTGGGCAAAAATCGTTCCATGATATAAGCCACGAACAAAACTGTGATAAATATTAAGCTTTTATCTTCTGGTGTCCTTATAGGCTGCATAAATACATCTCGAAACTGTACAGCCTTTTTAGTGTTTAACATTCACAATTTTCCACAACTTTAAAATTATATCAATAAAATGTTTAGTTCCTAAGATATCTTTTCCATACCCAGTTCTATTATTCTGTGATTCAATTTGCAGAGCAGCTAAAGTCTTTTCATCGAAAAGTTTAATAGCAGTACTTACATTCTGCTTCTCTATAGAAGACTGAAATAAAACTTTTCTTGATAAAGTTGGAGCCATTTTAATATTATCATTTTTTTCTATTTCATACATTTTTTTTAAATGTAGAACGCTGGACTGGAATTGTAAACAATATTTGAGTTTTAAAATGACGGTATAAAAAATGTTTGGTTTGAATCTTTCTGATTGAACCAGTTGTTTCGTATAGATTTCAATAAATGAACTGTATCAAATAATATAAATATAGGAAGATTATGCATGGTAGGGTTTATAAATGAGGATTTTAATGCACCACCACAAAGCATTTCGAACATCTTTCTGTTAATTCTATTATTGTCTGATATTAGAGTTACAATTCGATAGCCGCAAGACTGTACATGGTCAATTACTTGTTTTGTAAACATTAATAATTGATGTGATGATAAGTTTTTTACAGGAAACATTGCTACAATATCTGTGTTTTGATAATATAGAGCTTATCATAAATGTTTGCAGAGTTGTGGCCTCCATCTGTGAATTATCCGAAAAACCTAAAACACGACCACTTTTATACGAAACTTGTGGTTTTATATATATCTCATCTAATAATAAATTGACAATTTTTTCAGAATCATTTAAAATTTCACATTTTTTTTCAAATACATCCAGTGACTTGTTTGTAATCCAGAATCTGCTCGGCCAATTCTTCAGAGATAACTTCCTTAAGTATGACGGATGAGGCAATATAAAATATTTACTGTTACGTATAATATTGTAGCTGTTTGGATTACAATAAAATATATAACAAGACAGGCAAGGAATTCTGCACTATACGAAGGGCTGTTTCATTTGCATTAATTGAATCTGTTCATACAAAAACTTAAATTTCCTCAGAATGTGGGATTATTTTCTGTTTCTGCACATTTCAACAGTAGTTTTTGATATTTTATCTAAATTTAAATTGCAGTCATCATGAATATCAGAAGCGGAAAAACCATCCAAATGGCTAATCATTGTCTCAAGTTTAGACCATTTATCACATAGCTTTTCTTCTCCAAATATCCATTTGAACTATTCAATGGGAATTTCATTTTCATTGAAAAAAACTCTTACATTTAAATCTTCCAATATTTTTTAAGATACAAGCACTTTCAGACAGTTTAAAAATTCTAATTTCGATAGCCAAAAGATCTTACCTTTGGTAATGAATATCCATGAAGAGGGAAGATCTATTTTTTTTGCAAAACCATTTATTAGGTTTTCAAAATCGCTAATAATATCATTCTTTTTCCACTGTTCAAATTGTTTATCACAACGAATAGCAATTTCTGCTTCTCTTTCTTCCGCTGTTTTTCTTTTTGTGGGAAGTTTCTTCGATAAATAAGATGGCTGGTTTTGAAAAATCGTTGGATAAGCATCTTTTTTTAAAGCTGGAATAGTTCTAGGAACTACTAATACCGTCCCATCATCATGAACAGCTTTATCTTCTCGAACGATAAATTCTTCGAAATGCTTAATGCATACACTACTGTGTTTGCCAGCTACAAAATCTTTGCGATTAATATTTTTTATCCATTTCTGAGGGAGTACAGGATCCGAAGGAAATTTAAGAGTGGACACATGTTCATTAGTGCCTTCGGTAATTTTATCGGCATTTAAGTACACTACACTTTCTTGGCATTCTAAAACACACTTTTTCTAGAATAAATAAATCGAATTCACAATATAATATTTTACTTTCCGGTAAAATACAAAATTTTTCAGAAGAAAAAACACACGTAAACAATTATCTCACTAGCACTAGTCCTACGGCGAAGCAAGCTCAACTTACAAAATTGAAAGCCTAGGATTATGACGTCAGATCATGTGATCATCAGCTTGGAGCAGGCCTGTAGATATCTAGTTGGCCTTGCTACAGGTCGACTCTACCTTTGGGCACGTCGTGGAGGTTCAACCTCCACTATTACCCTCCAGTAGAGCCGCGCACCACCTGGATAAGACACCAGGCAGCACCGGTCGTCTAATGCTCCTGCCAGTCGCTCGGGCGAGCCCGTCGCAGCGGGACATTACCCAGCGACCCCGGGGGAAAACCCCCGGGTTACTAGCACCACGCCGCGCTAGGACGTGCCAGACTCCGAGGCCGGCCAATGAGTGACCTTTCCCAGAGCCTTCAGAACCACCAAGTTCATAAATTTTATACCCCCGTGGCCGAGACTGCCTAGGTACAGATCCTAGCCAGTAGCTTCGCAGAGTTCTCTACGTCGACCCCCGGGGGGGAGGCAGAAGGTACTGTCCAATGAGGCAGTCTCCAAGAATGCAGGCCCAAACAATGACCGGGAAACGCTCTTGAGCTGCATATTGTTGCGTGCGATGAAGGTTCTTCAAAGCCCGCACATGGGAGTTATGTTGATTGAAGGCTTCCTCACGTGCGAAGTATGCTGCATCCGTGAACAATACGGAAGCAGCAAATGCACTGTCTGTAGCACTCTGTTGCAGGAACTATGTAGCGAAGTCCTCCGGAGAAGATATTCTCAGGCTCTAATAACTGGACTCGATGAACATGGCATGAGTTCAATTGGTTTGCTGCGAATATCCCCCAGACAATGGATTGAGATAAACCCACTTGTTGGGGTCGTACTTGAGCTGTCTTCTGCCAGACATAAGACCGCTTCTTCATTGCCAGTTGTCCTCGTCATTCCCAACCGATACATTGTAGCGCTTTTTAAACCAGTCTCACATAACCTTATGCTCACACTTGCGAAGGTCGTGTAATGTGAAGCACGCCTGTTCGAGTATCGTTCCCGGTGCAACTGCAGAGCGACGTGCCCATTAGAATCCGCAGCTTCATACACGATCAACAGGTAGACCAATTCATCGTTTGAATACACGTTCACCTACTACTTCGCAATGAATCGCAAATGAAGAGAGGAATCTTCCAGAACGTAAGGAATTCCATGCAGCGCCGCTATCAGGCCTGCCTGACCATGTCTGATTGTAATTTCGAACACCTGTTGTAGCACAACCTTTCAATGAAATGTTTCTACACCATTAATGTGTTACTGCTTCTGTTTTTTTCTCTGCGTCTTTGCACCATTGCTCGTAACTGCAACATTTACGACCCTGCATTCTTATGTGATCCGAGTCGTTTCTGTACCCCTTACACACTCTGCAAATTTGTCGGTCTGGTATCGAATCGAATCACCTTGTATGTATACATATATATATATATATATATATGTCATGATATTTTAAAATCAATTCATTTAATTCTAGTTATATTCATTGGCGATTTTCTACCCAAATTGCATCCCCGTTTCTATTTTTTGGCGAAATCCTTTCTTCATTATAAATTATATTAAACTGTTGGCTCCCGCCAAATCGCCAAACTCACAAATCTGTCATAATATACAAAGTCCTTTTAAAACACCGCTGATTGGATGATCACCATGACGCTCACATATCTGTAAATAGGGCTTCGCCTTTAATGTACAGGAGAAAAGCTTGGGGGATAGATGCTAAAATAAACGTATGATTTTGTATTCGAAATTTTGTCTTATTTCTGTTGCCCTTCGACTGCCCAACATCACTAATGTATGAGAATCTACTGTTACGAAATGAACAGGCACGGTAAGATAGCTTCCCCGCAAAGTAGTTTTAGGGTTGCCTTAAAATGTCAAGGGAAGCCAGGTTTGCCACATTTGTCGAGAAATTATCAATTTGGCGACATTTGGCGACAAAATTGGCGATATGCCATTGACGGATGGAGAACCTTCTGGAACGAATTCTTACCGGTTTAGCCCAGAGTGTTCTCGAACACAAGCCGAAAGCTATATAAACCCTGCTGGTCCGCAGTCAGTTAGTATGCCTCGTCTAAGGGCGAGAGTGTGTGCCTCGCATAGATCGCGAGAGAGTTAGTATCGAGTTGGTGTCTCGTCTAGCGAGTCAATCCCTGCGGAGTGGATCGAGTTGACAGCCGGGCAGCGAGTGCCAAGTGGGTCGTCGAGTGCATAGAAAGAGTTTCCTAGTGTATCGCGGTTAGTGCATCGTCGAGAGAGCGTGTTGAGCTCCGGGAACAACTAAACCGAAGAGTCGGAAGTTGTGCTCTGTGTGTCGTCGAGTGCATCGCGAGTTGTAGCGTCGAGAGTCTCGAGAGTACGTGGAGAACGATCGAGATCCGAGAACGATCGAGCAGATTCGGGAGCTGTACTCTAGTGACCTGATAACCTGGAGGCTGTGTCGCTGATCGTGTCAGTGTGTTTACATTAGTAGTTCATCGACGATTGTAAAAACGTGATTTGGAGCTGTCGTGACAATACTGGCCAATGAAAGTGTGTTTCGATACTTCATCAAGTAGTGTCGTCATTATTTACTCCAAATCCATACGAACTCCGTACGAACGTGAAGGAAGAAAATAACGTAACACTACATTACATATGTGTGTGTGTTTGTGCTTGTGTGATTTCTATATGTATGCTCGCGTTGTTTACAATACATTCATTTTTCTTTCAGATCGTCCAAATGCTCCTATTATGAGGACTTATTTTGCCACTTCAAAATCACTCAAACTATCTTGGGAGCCCAGAAACCACCCGAATGCTCCAGTCTCAGGTAAATATTTCCATCAGCAAAAGACATTGCTAGTTAATCATTTTTAAAAATACCGAACCATTTCCATTCAATTTGCACAGAAATCTTTCGCTTTTTACCTATGCACCTATAATTTACCTATAATTCATAAACTTCATTAAGAATGACTTCATTTGAAATGTAAAAGACAAATGCATGTTTGCTGAATACTTTGCCCCCCCCCATAGCGGAAGACTATACGGATCATCGCAAACAACTGACCAAGTTATTATTTTTACCCTGATAATAAGCGTCAAAGCGCAGTTTGTTAACGTTTTAAAAATTTCTAATTGTAGTTTTCCGATGCTTTTCTTAAATTACGTAAAGAAGATGTTTAAATTACAGAAATCCTGGCATCATACAAATCGCATTAAGCAACCTTTTTGTGTAAACTACTCAATAGCACAAGTATATAAACATTATTTTACTTGTAAATAATATGAATAAGTAATCGACGTTCCTAATTTTGATATGAAATTTTTCTATCAGTTTCCTAAAACGTATCTAACAAAACTGATACTTTAGTGTTTATAAATACATAAAAAATATTTAAAGTTTTTTTCAGAATAACTTTCTTTTCGGAAAATATTTTTCATTTAAATCAAATAGTTTATTCTGTCATGCATTTGAAATCTACTTTACTTTTCCCATAACATCAAAACTAAACTTCTGCTTTAAATAATGCCCTTCGGGGCAAAGAGTATTGACAATTTCCTGAAACATTTTCTTTCTTTTTTCATGCGGGTTAGGAACCTGTTTAAAAGCTTAAAGTGCCCATTAGCTAAAAGAGGTTCGTTAAATATTATTTTTTTTTAAATGATAAACGTGTAGAGTGCTTTGTATGGTGATTTCATATCCATTAAAATCTGATCTTTTCTAAATTATTTAAACAGCGCACTTAATAAATCACAAAATATTTAAGCTAAAAATATCTTGAATAATAACAAATGAAATTACAAACTGGTGAATTTAAAGAGAGAGCTTTAGGTTAACAAAAATTGCCCCTACTATAAAATAAAATGTGAGTGTATTTAAAGTAATTTTATTTCGCTGTTATTTGCTCAGTTATGGAGAAATTTGGTCCAAGATATTTCTATAACGTTTTTCCAAATAACATTGTTTTAATTTCTATTGTTTATTTGCTCTAATGTGTACGATATTATCATTAAGCACATTATGATATTTCTAAAGTTATGAATTAATTTTTTGTTAAAAACTAAGGGTGTCATTATTATTTATGACTGCAAACACGAGAACTTAAATATTAATTAAATTATTTTACTTCGCTTTATTTATGATTATAAAGCAAGCATTTAAGATGTAATCGCTAAAGGGTCAAGATGTTAATAAGCTCAGTTTGAGCACTGAAAGTGCCCTACAGTATTGTACACTACTGCGCTCTTAAATGCGGTGTACTTTATATGTGTTAAAATTTAAGTTTCGCTTTCACGATGGACTGAAAATGGATTTTGAACACTGAGGAGTCGCTATGGAACAAACCGATGTGTGTGGATGTTGTGTATATGGCAGGTAGTGGATATTTTTTACTAATGGTCTTCCTCGTTCATCAAGATTCGTTCCACTGTATACTCGTCTAAGCGAGATCGAACGATCTAGTCAGAATAGTGGCTTTCTGTAGAATGTGCCAGAAACTGTGCGGTTTTTTTTTTTTTTTTTTTTTTTTTTTTTTCAATTTATGATAAGGCCTCTTTTCAAGTGCCTGAGTTTTGTAAATATGAAGGGGGTAGTGCGTATATGCAGCACCATTGTAAATTATGAGATTATATGAAATCTACTAAACTTTGAACATTAATAAACCAGCTTACAGTCTAGAAAAACAGTAGCAGCGTTTATGGGACACTGAAACTTCAGGAAGAAGGTTTCATAAATTCTTCCCTAAAATTGGAAAACAACTAATGAGTGGCTTTTGAGACTTGAATGGGCAGTGAGATTTTGGAATGGTCGAAGATACCGACAAATATAGCTTCAGTCGCCCAAATACCGCTAATTAGAAAAACAAAAGAATTTAATTTCAAATAATATTATTTTCATACTATTTTGCTGAAAGCAGAATTTTCTGAAATGAGTTGAATTTTTTAAAACTTTTTGCAATGCGAAATAATGTAGAAAGAACGAAACAGGGAAAGCATATCTGTCTACGGTTATTAAGAAACCATTTCTCTCTATGTCAAGTTTTTGAATTATCGGAACATAATGCAAAAATGGAGAGTTGCGGATTGAGGCTTTTATAACTTCAAAAATTCTAAACTATTTTGACCTCCTCGTATAATATAAAAGAATTATTATATTTTGCACAACCTTTAAACCTAAAAATACTCATGCATTCGATTTTCTAAGACACATTGTCTGAATTTTCCTCAGAAGAGCGATTTCATCTTTCTCTTATCAGCATTACTTTACTAATATCATTATCATGGTATTCATATCAGCATCCTATTACTGATATTAGTCTTAAATGCCATTATAAAGGACCCATGTCTGTAATTCGTGTGAAACTAATTGCGTAAGCATTTGATTTCATGCAGTATGAAGTGATGTAATTATTTAAAAATATAATGAACACTACCTGTTATTTCCTATTTTCGGTGGTCCTTTTTACAGGCATACCTTGGTTCCATATTCCGGGTAATAACAGGAATGCTAAAGGAATATTTGATCCTACAAAAAATGGCGGAAAGAGAAAGCAAAGTTTAGTGGTTTTAAAGAAATATTTCAATTGTGTAATACACACCTTTCTAGTCTGCAGGTTGTTTACTCAAAGAAAATTTAAACAGAAATACTTATATTGTAAGCTGTGGAATATACTGTTGTATTTCAAGCTACAGTCCTCAAGTTTCGGTCAATAGCAAGGCAAACAACCTAAAAAACTGTAAAAGTAGTGCGTTGACAGTTACAAATGAGAACTTGTTCTCTTGTATTCTAGATTCATGTACCGCTCAATATGAAATCAACGTACCACAATCCTTGCCTCCACATCTAGGTATATTAACAAGTTTCCATTCTTTTCAATTTTTGAAATACAGATTTACATAATGTACATTATACCTATTGACGGTGGCTCTCTATTTATCGTAACTTTGCCATTTTTCTGCATTACATTACCTTTTAGGTGTTATGTGCTATAATTCAATAATAGTTCTTACTTCACAAATTTAGCAACTAGCAGAAATATTTCTGATATATGTTATTAGAAGGTGTTACATTTTTGTTTTACACCATTTAAATTTTTTGGATTGTTTACAAAAACGCCTTATTTTACAAAACATATTTTTCCGGATAAAATAATGAATGAAATTTATTTCTAATTAAATGCAACAGTAATACGTAATATACGTTCAGTACCCCTACATGAAATTTGGCTCTCTGTTTATTGCAGCTTTGTCACTTTTCCTTTATAGCACTAACTTTTAGATGTTGTGTACTATGATTCAATAATAGTTCTTACTTCACAAGTCTAGCAATTTTCAGAAATATTTCTGATATATGTTATTGGTAGCTGTTACAACTTTGTTTTACACCATTTAAATATTTTGGTATGTTTACAAAAATGTCTTATTTTACTATATTTATTTTAGAAAACACATTTTTCTGGATAAAATAATAAGTGAAATTTTATTCTAATAAATGCAACAATAATACACAATACAAGTGCAATACCGCTGCATGTGTTTAAACTGTAACTGAAATACCTTCGAAATGTATTTTCAGGGTATATTTTACATCACAGAATGGAAGGCAGTCATTGGCAAGAAACTCATCTCACAGGAGATCGAGCGACCTACACTCTCCACGATCTTCAGTGTGGGACAACGTATTCTTTTTATCTGGTAGCAGTCAATAGCGCCGGCAGAGGAAATGGCAGCGAAATAATTTCCGCTAAGACTGACGGCAGCCGTAAGTTGCTTTATCTTTCTTATTCTATGAACGCTTATAATAAAAAAGGAAGCGATAAATTATTGTAGAGAAGTTGTTTTTCTTCCGATAACACTTTGGCACCCTAATATCGATCTGAAACTTTTGGTAGTCTTGGGATGCTTTCTTAGAAATACACTCAAGAACAATAAAATCCTGTATTTATATGCACAGTATAAAACAGTCGATAAGATATGTAGCTGACAGTAATGCTTAATTTAGCATTTGCAATGTGTAAAAGTTAGTTAATAGAAAGTTTTAATTAACTAAATCTGAAATTTCAAATGAGGTAAAAATGCATCCTTGTTTTGGTACAGATTTTGAACTCGACGGATTCCGAAGGCAACAAAAACACAGGTATCTTTTCTTCAGAATTTAAATATGAATAATAATAATTTGGCAAATGGGAGAAGCGAAGACATTTTTTATGTCAAAAGCAACGGACGCAGTAGAGCGAGAATTTAAGTAGCGCCATCTATCGAGTAAAATTGTTACGAAACGAAAAAAAGTGACAAATTAGCTTTCTGATAGCGTTAGAGAGGGCGGTATTCCATTTAATAACATTAACTAAAGAAGCAAAGTTATGCAAATATGAAAAACTTAAATACTCACGAACTGTCACGAAAATGCACAATTTTTCATTTTTTTTTTATTCCTGGAGAAGAAGGACCTGTGTCTGTTTGATCCCCGAAATCGGTAGAGGTTTATTCAGAGGTCTACCCAAAAATAAACTTACTCCTTTATCTAATTTATAATTCTACACAAGAGTATTTCTCTTCCATGAAATCTATAATCTTAATCAGATATTATATGCGTAAAGCCTCGTATCACCTCAATTAGACAGAAATTCTGATATTCAGTTTTGGTAAATATGCATGTATACGTAATGAGAAAGAAATGTTTTGTATTTTTTTCTCAAGTCAGCTTGAATAACGGCATAGATAGGACCTATAAGAGACACGATAAGTATAAGAGAAATGCATATATATACGACAAGTACGCATGTACATATATGACACGTATATATACTACATATATTTATATACGTGTCGTGTATATGCATATATATATAGCTAGGTAGATAGATATATAGATAGATAGAGGATACGACAGGTATAGAAGAAATGAATAATCTGCGCGAATTGTGATCAACCCCCCGAAGAGATGCTAGGAGATATATGACTAAATGATGTGACTGAAGAAATGCTATTAGATATATATTTTAGTTTTGTTTTTGAATTCTTTTGATTATTTGCTTTTTCTCTACTTTGATGTGGCAAATTATGTAAGGTATTCCTCCCGCCTTCCTTTCTCCCGAGTATGTAAGGTATTTCTCCCGCCTTCCTAGCGTATCTTCGTGGTGTAGTGGTCAGCATACTGAGCCGGTATTTCAGAAGTCCGTGGTTTGATTCCTGGCGAAGGCGATTGCTCATTTTTCATCTTGCCTGCTTCCCCAAAAAATCCTAATGTCTCTACAAGGTGAAAAAATCATTTCTATGTATGCGGTTTTTGTATTAATATTTCTTATTTTTTAGCTATTCCCTTTATAAAAATCCCACAATTTTACTTTTGTGGAGATACCAAAAATGTCATTGCTATAAAAATTTCTTATTTTGATTGACTAACCAACTGATTCTATTTTATGAATTGCCGTGTAAACTTTTCTTTGTGAATTGCATCATCCGTTTAAGCAAATGTAATAAATTAAAAAAAATATGATCTTCTCCACTCCGGAATGTAACATTACCAATAACGAATAGAGAATCGCATGTTTAGCTGCAACTTTATGTGTCAGCATCCTACTATAGGAGAATCTTATTTAGACAAAAATAATAACGCAAAGCATATTCTGCTGGAGAACAAAATAGACAAGTAGACAAGTACGAAAGTCATTCGAATCGCAATAAATATAACATGTTGGAGAAGTTAAAGGTCCATGATGAAAGTTCAAATTACTTCGAATGAAAATTAAGTTATCCTAATTGTCGATGAAAGCAGCCGGTAAGTTCCAAAAGAATTGTTGGTTTTGCATCGACTGGATGTTGTCCAAATTCGATTTGCATGCCGAAATCAATAAAAATTTTATGATCCTTTGACATTTAGCATACAATCTACTATTATTGCATAGATTTAGTGTAATGAATGAACAAATTAACCTGTTATAAAATTCAGTTTCATGTTTTTCGCAAAAAAATAGATCAAACTAATCATTCCCAAAGTTTAAATATAACGGATATGGAAAAATGATGACTGCAATCGTGTCTCCATTCTTTAGTTCTGGAAATCTTTATTCATTTCAATATTCTTCAATTCATTTTGCATTCTTTCGCAAACGATATTTTAAAGACTCGCTCCGGTAGAAGCAACTGAGCGGGTTAAAAGCTTATGTTATTGAACATGTAGTCTTTGATTATGTTATCAACGTTTAAATTTTTTTGACTGCAACTGTACAATTTAATTTAGGCACGAGTATTGGATTTTGTCGTCGTGTTGTCTTTCATGTTAAAAGTTCAGATTAAATAAAAGGAATATTAAATCTTTACAAGTTCTTGTCCTGCAATCTCAAACATAGCGATGACTCGCTGACTTATCTTGTAGGATTTAAATTTAGTTTCCAGTTAAATGGCAACTTTACAAGATTCTTGATACAGTACGGTCCATCTGTATGTCAATTCGTCTTTAAATAATCTTAAGCCATCATTTGAAACTAATAACTTATAGATGCGATACAGTGCCTTCTCAGAAATTTGTTGAAAAAAATCCAGCCCTAAGCCCTATGCAGCAAAATTGTAATGTTTGCAAAATAAATTAATAGCGATACGAAAGGAGGATTCATGGATTGCTATTTAGTATCCCGAAGAGTTTGATATTAAACCGTCCAAAAGTTAAATATGTATATATACGTATATTTATTTTTAAATTTAATGTATATTACATAAATAAAAAAATACAAAGCATAGTTCAAAATCTAATCCAATTACGAGCTAAAAGCTGCAACGTGTAATGGTAATAATGCAAAATAAATTAAGATTGTTTAAAATCAATCTCATATTCAATTCGACATAAACTGTATGAAGAAAAGGAATATTAGTAAAACTGTATAAAAGGTGCAAAAAATAAAAAATTGTCAAATATCTTTAGCTGCATCTGTGTGTATGTGTGCATGTATTTATAAATATCTCCATGGATACATTATCAATGGCAGTACGGCCAAGTCCGTCCCAATTTTGAAGAATAATCCGTTCTGGATTCAAAGGTCTTTCACTCCACTTTCCCTACCGCATACCTCCCGAGATTTTTGGCACTTCTTGTATTTTAAGTGCCCTCAATGCCGCAAAAACGCTTTATACTTACAAACATCAATTTATTATTATTTATTATTTAAAAATAATAACAATTTCCGACTAAAGAGAACTACTTGAGATGTGTTTTTTGCCTGAATAGAAAATCCTTCTTTTATAAAATAATTTGTATTTTCCTTCTGTTCTAGATTTGGGAAGTTAATATTTCATAGGAAAAAAAATCCAATCTTTTTAAAATTTTTTTATTTATATATATGTCTGTGTGTGTGTGTGTGCGTGTGTAAAATATAAAATCTGGCTTTCAAATAATAAATTAATAGCCCCTAACTTCCGTTTCATAGTAAAAATAAATTTGTCTCCCTGCAGATCTTATGCGCACTTACCAATGAAATCTGAACCCCAAATCCTGTACATTAAACTGTATGTTATCTGAAATGGAATTTGGTATAAAAAGGTCAATTGCGTCACAACTCCCTCTCTTAGGTCTTTTCTCTTGCTTCCTGTCGCTGCTCTGCATTGCCGATAGCCTCGTAAAGTTTATTTTTCTAAATGTGTTAATTGTTTAAGATGTAAGATGTTCAAAAATTGGGATGTGCATAGCGCACCCACAGTGATAATGTGAATTATCCAAGAATAACATTATGTGTGAAATTTACAGTTATTTGTGGTTTTCGAGTGCCATCTTGCTAACTACGCAGCAAAGTCTTCAAGTTATGATGCAGTACTCTCCAACAAAATCCGTTGCAACTCTCACCAAGTCATCTTACCACAATAAGAAAGCAGTATTCTCACAATAATAGAGCAGTACTATTTCATATATATATATATATATATATATATAATTAAAGATACAATTTGAAATTTGAACCTTTCATATATTTATATATAATATAATTTTAGCTAAAATAAAATGTTATGTTTTAATGTTGTTAAATTATCATTTCATTAATTTTATCTTCTTCAAGGATAGTATAGTCCCTATGTATTTTCAGTTGCTGTTTAAAAATTTTGAGACTACTAAGTAAGAATATTTTTCAAGTTGAATAAAATTTCTCAGGTTCTCAAAACAGTAAGCCATGAAGTTGCTTCGGAAATAAAAATGTGAGGATTTAGAACTTCTAAACTTCTTCTGAAACAAATCAGTTTTATCTTAAATATTCTGAATTTAAAGAAAAAAATGGTGTAACTTTGCTTTTCATTTATCTTTTAAAGGTTTCATTTTTTGAGTAAGATATGTGACTTACTTTTGATAAGATTACTTACTTAAGATTTTTTATATCTCTAACATAATCCAGTTTAGGCAAATAATCATCACAACACCAAACGTTTATATCTAGCACAGTGACCGTATTATTCTGAAGTTCAGCATGTTATAAAATTTACACCAGAAATGTTAAGGGAAATCACTAGAAATAGGTATGGTAAAGGAACCTCAAATTCAATACTAATGAAGGGAACTCTCTAAAAGGAAGTAACTCTCCAAAAGAGCTTTCAGGATTCCTTACTGTTATCTTCAAGAATACGGAAAAATAAAATAACTATCAATTAATGTGGGAATAAATGGCCATATTTCTACCGGAGTTTGTTTTTATTTTGGTCATTGCTTGTGATACATGTTCTTATTAAGAGATATGACAGGCAAACGCACACATTTGTTTCAGGAAATATTTCGGCTGTAGG